CACGCTTGGTATTGCTGGCGCACAAAATATACCTAATAAAAGTAAAAAGGTATCATAGATTATTTTACTCTAATTCTGCCTAAACGAATTTCAAGTGCCGCGGCTATTGAGGATTCCTTTTGTTTTGCATGTGCTTATTACTTACTGTATAGTACGGAAATGTTTTATCAGCTTAATTAATATATACAAGAGTTATATGAAACATGCAAAGGTTGATAGTTTACCCCAATATGGCAAATTTTTCATTATAATTTCCAGGTAAACTATTAATAAGTATAAAAATTTTAATTCTGTTTCTAAGGAATATGGATGACCGTGATAAAATTATGACTAAGTTACATTCCCTTTGTAATAAGGGTTACGTCATTTATCTCGTCTTAACGATACAATGTATGTTTCAAAACAAGTACTTTGAATTAATGCCAAAAGTATATTCTTTGAGTGCTTTATTAACGTCACTGCAATTAGTAAGATATTTTTTTACTAATACTTGATAAATGTAACAAATGGTATAATCACATATTCTTAGTTCTTTAATTTAATGATAAGATGGCGGTCAGTGAATTTCTGAATATACACAACATTACTCCTTCACCTCCCACTCCCACCCCGGTGGCTCAGCGGAAAGTCTGAGTGTATATATATATATTACTGAAAATCGAATTTTAATACCCGCTGTGGGCAGAGTACAAATAGCCTATTATGTAGCTTTGCGCTAAATAAACAAACAAACGTTACTCTTTCAATCTATCTCCGCCACTATAGATACTTGAAATTCTCACAGCTTAGTCCTCTAGAGATAATGCATGCACTCTAATCCCATTTTCTTACAACTGCAATTAGCCATTTTACATCCAGTCTTGCATTTACACCGAATCAATTTGAGCAAGAACTCCGGGGCTACACTTTTGTTTGTTGTTAGAAGTTTAATGTTTTCCATTTTCAAATTCTAGCCTGTTAGAGTTAAGTTCTCTTCACTCCTTTTCCATCCTTGAAGTTAGTAGTATACCCTTAGACGAGAATAATAGTCCGAATAATTATACCATTAGTAATGCTAACTCCTCGTCTCAATCATTCCGCAAAACTATAACTTAGACTCTGGTATTTAGTGGCCTCCGATGACTGGAGTAATGTTTCAGGGTTAAAAAAAAACAAAAAAACTCGTGCTTCTATCAGCTTTATCAAGAAATTTGATCACATGCAGTTTGTCAATTCCTTTTTCTTAATTACCATTATAAAAGCATAGTAGGGCGGATTCTCCAGATTAAATTATCTTCGCTTGTGTTGCATTCTTGGGATTCTTGTTGAAAACAATAGCAACTTTCCTGAATTAAGGATCATATTTTTAATACTACGCCTTTCCCAAAACCAAATATCTTTGAGTTGGAATCGCATGAAGAAAAATGATGTTATTACAAACCCACACACCCTGTTTCCACTTTGTTTCATATATATGTTGTTTTCTTAATTTGTTTTCGGTTTGGGTGTTAAATATATACTGAATGATTTAAGTTCTGCATGATAGTCCAACAGTACCGATAAATCGGTATCATCCCCAAATATTAGTCTTCGCTGTAGACGTACAATCTATTGCTGTCTTAATAATAATATCTGCATCTCTAGATGAGTTATTTTTTTTATTTTTTTTTGTTTGTTATGGATTTCGCGCAAAACTACACGAGGGCTATCTGCGCTAGCCGTCCACAATTTAGCAGTCTGAGACTAGAGGGAAGGCAGCTAGTCATCACCACCACAGCCAACTCTTGGGCTACTCTTTTACCAACCAATAGTGAGATTGGCCGTCACATTATAACGCCCCTACGGCTAAAAGGGCGAGCATGTTTGGTATGACGAGGATTCGAACCCGCGACCCTCAGATTGCGAGTCGAGCGCCCTAACCACCTGGCCATGCTCTAGGTGAGTGTTTGTTTTAACTCCTGCAGTCTGCAGTTTCTCGCTTAGTAGATTAATAAGTTGTTGTTTTTGTGCTTGTTGAAAAGGAAATTAGTTTCTTTCCTCGTATGATAATGGTTCCATTAAATCTTATTGTGAACCAATACAGTTCAGAAAGCATGAATTTTCTTGTGTACCAATATAGTTCAGAAAGCAACGATTGAAATTCTTGAAATTTTTTACCTCAAAATATCACCTTTAATATACCAGTAAAACTTTCATTATTTAGAAATAATATTGTAGAAGTCACTAAAAAATAAAATCAAATCGTAGAATTGTTAGTTCTATCAATTTAAAATCCATATTCCTAAAATTCGCGATTTAACCTGTAGAGTGCGGCTGCTTTAAACGCGCTCGGAATTTTTGCGAGTCGTACACTGTATACAACACACTCGCATTCAACTGCCGGAGGCGGGCTGTACCGAATCAGCAGTCAATGGGTTAACTTGATTTCTCCAACATTGTACCCCAAAATTACATATTAGCAGATAGTTACAAATGAGGACTTTGACATGTTATGTAAGGTTGTCGTTCTGAACTGAAAACTTTTGAAATGATTTGTGTACCAATTTCTTTTGGGTCGTCAAATCATTTCTTTGCTGCATTAACTCTTGGGTTACTCTAAGCGAAATGCGAGATTTGACCGTCACTCTTATGACGCACCCACGGCTCCAAAGTGCGAAACGTAGTTTTTTTTAAGATTCACAGTCTGGCATGCTTACCACTAGACCGCATCCAGCTCCTCAGTTTTAGGCCCTGTCACATAAAATCGATGAACTCACCAATTTCCCATGTAAAATACACAGGGGACCTCAACATAATAGAAATTAATTGCAGTAGTGATGGTACTTTTATAACTTTCTTTATATGACCCGTAAGTTATTATGAGCTATGTAACCAATAAAGTCGTAGACCTATAAGCATAAATAATGTAGAAAATCGTGTTTAAAAGCTAATGATATGGACCCCGTCAGTGATTCCGTGATTAAAGGCATGATTTCGGAAGAGCTCGAATTTTTATTGCCCATTTTCAAAAGGAAAAAAAAAAAACGGAAAGGTAAAGTATGAATTTCTGACTGTTAAAAGGAGAAATGATATTGCACGTTAAACATGATAATCTGATAAGATTGTCAATGATATCGCACGTTAAACATGATAATCTGATAAGATCGTCAATGATATCGCACGTTAAACATGATAATCTGATAAGATCGTCAATGATATCGCACGTTAAACATGATAATCCGATAAGATCGTCAATGATATCGCACGTTAAACATGATAATCTGATAAGATCGTCAATGATATCGCACGTTAAACATGATAATCTGATAAGATCGTCAATGACATCGCACGTTAAACATGATAATCTGATAAGATCGTCATTTGTTACATTGTGATGTATTTCATTATATGGTCTTCTTCTGTCTTGGTTTCATCTTAGAACTCAGAGAGCCCAAAACATCGTCTCAAGATAAAAACAAGGTAGAAATTTATTGAAACAGAAGGACCACATGTTATAATACTCTATGTAAACTCACCGTTTAATTCTATTGGGTAAACCATTATTTCAGAGTGATTCTTGGGTTATTCAAAACTTCGATTTTTAAGCAACAATTACATATCATAATATGATGAGCACTTTACGACAAGGTAAACAATACTTTGAATGTGTTTACATTGAAATACCACATTAAAATTAGCATTTGAAGAGCCCCTAGTAGCTCAGCGGTAAGTCTAAGGGCTTATAATGCTAAAAATCGGATTTCGATACTGTCAGTTAGCACAGGACAGAAAGCCCAGTTGTGTAGTTTTGTGCTCAACATCAAAAAGAACATTATAATAGAACTGTATTCAAATAATATGTCCGCCAGTGTCATTTATTCCATTTTAAACATCGAAGTTGTGTAATATTACCAAAGAAATGGCATTGCACAATCTTAGGGATATCATATGTGGTAATGCATCATCGTCACGCCATGCAACATGGATTTTAGATGGTGTGGATCAGTGGAAGCAAGCGCGAGTGCAAACACGTGATCACGCCACGCCCGAACCGCCAGACAACTGGTTACGTAGTAGTCAGGTCACGTGCGCTCGAGACACGGCACTGCCTGATCGATATGTCTGCTCCGAGTCAAAGTAGGTTTTCGCCTTTCTTTTGTTTCTTCTTTTATTCTTCACCTAGCTTGTATTTGACAGGGCTTCAGTCATTATATGCTTCCGCATGATATTGATAGTATCAAGTTCTCTAAACTAAATGCACTTTTTAAGCTACCATAAACTGAAAAACACGCACTGGAATTTATCAGACAACGCATGAAACCATCTGCTATATTCTTTAAATTAATGAATGAACTATTTCTTTATGAATACTTAATATATTTAATCAATTAATTTACATGCACACATTTTATTTGCGGAAAATGCCAACTTATTCTGTAGCAAAAAAATGTATCTCATCCTGGGAGAACCCACCATTAGTAAATAAACAACTTTTGCCCTCTCAGTAAGAAAACATACTGTTGTACAAGTAATGAAAATAGACATAACATAAACGCCAATATAGTGTTCATGTTCAAAACATAAATATTACATTGAACATTTCGTAATATTAAATTTTCTTCAGTAAAACAAACCAGGTATTAGCTCGAAAAACTTCAGTAAAAATAAAGAAGAATATATTAAACATACTACATCTGCTATAATCTAGTGCCCACGAGGCCATTCGCCTAATATTAAGGCTGATCAGATTGACTGGGACACGATAGATATGGTAATGGTTTAGGCGCTATTTATATTATTAACTATTATGAACAACGACTGTTACGGTGTGAACGAGATTTGGTAAGTAAACAGTAATTATTATCAATTTTTCTTTATTTCATTTAAAAATCAAATTTTTTAGTGTAAGAATTAATAACACAATATTGTTTATTTTATTTAGTTCTAGCACTGTCTATTTGTTTCTTATTATTTTACTTGAAATAACTTTATTATCGTTCAGAATTACTGGCGAACCAACAAGCCAGTTTCCTTGTTCCAGGAGCAACTGTTTCGATTGTTTATAGAATTTTGCAAGCTACTCGAGGGCAGTCTAAGCTCCCCAATTTAAAAGTGATATATTAGAGGGAAGGCAACTAGTCAACATTACCCACCGGCAACTCTTGAGCTAATCTTTACCAATGAAAAGTGCGATTGACCGTCACATTATAACGCCTCTATGGTTGAAAGGGCGAACATGTTCTTATAACGCCTCTATGGTTTAAAAAGCGAGCATGTTCGGTGAGGGGATTCGAAACCGCGTCCTCAGAATCTGAGTCAAGCGCCATAACCACCAAGGGAAGTAATTCTAAGTGTTGTATTCGTTGTTTGGTGTTATAAAATGACGTGAGAGTAAGCTGACAGAACTACAATTTGCGATGTTCTTCGTTCTTACAAGTCAGGAAGGAAGACGCATTCTTACCAATATGTACTGTTCATGACTGGTTGAAAAATCCCCCAAATTTTACCCGAGCAACACGCTAGAAAGTGCCAATATAATTTCCCTTTAAACTTTTCATAAGATAGTTGGTTCTTCTTAAATCTAAACAAAGTTTAAGTGGAGAAAGCTTCAGTGAAAAATAAAAATAAGAAAGTGACGTTTTTTTTAGACAATGTGTACACCACATATTCATTACAGTTTTGTTTCGTTTTGCTTTCAAGACATTTTGTTTTTTCCGTTTGTTTTTATGAATCTGGTTATATCCTGTGTGTCTCCTTGCTAAGTGGTTGTTCGAACAAGTGAAATTCCCGAGATGAAAGAGGGTATAGATGAAAGATTTTACCTTTTACAGTCTGTTTTTTACCCTAAATGCTTTCCTGGAGAAATGTTATTCCTCCTTGGCTCTATCATCCTGATGATAACAAACATTTTATCTTTCATCGTAGATTTATAATTCACATTATACTCATTAACCCACATCCTTAGAAGTAGAAAGTCTGATGTTACTAATGAGTCAAACATTCACACTATAAATAGTGATATCATTTTCTGTGAGTTACTAACCCTAAATGTAAATATAGACTGTACGACCCAAAAATAACTCGTACAATATGTTTAAAATGATTTTATTTCAAGTCATCTATCTTATAGGTAGAATGTGCTTTCAGTATACACACAAATCCTTCATTTTCGATGTAGCTAGGAACCTTACTTCTCTTAGTATAATCCTATATTTACAATAAATGAGCTTTATTTTCCAAGAGTTCTTCAGATTAGATTGTGAAAGAACAATTTAGTATTCACAAATTCCTTATGTTACATGTACCTAATGTCTTTCTACTGAAACCCATCTTTGATGTAGGTAGAGAAATTTTATTCCAACTTTTCAAAAGTCCCCGTTTGATATATAGGTGATAATCCTCATAAATCCCCACAGCGAAGAATTACATAAATTCAGTTGGTTTCTCTATCTCTCTGCATTTCGTATAAATGATTGTTTAACATTAGCACATAATAAGTCTCAAACGTTTTCTTGATCACCACTATAAGCTTTGTATTCTGTTGTGGTATCTGAAATTAGAGCGGGATCAATGTACTCAGTTTGTTTGTTCATTATAACAAAAAATACTCGTATTTTGTTCATTGAACATGTTAAACAGATTTTGATTTGTATTCAAACTTTTGCTTCGCTTTTAATATCCTGGCAAGCTCTCTCTTGTTAATCATACTATTTCATACACATGTATGCCGATTTGCTCCGTTTTTTATTCTCGGAGTGTCTTCCCTATATGACAAATGAACCACTATTTTTTGCCCACTTTACAGGTTACCTCACCGTCCTAAAGTACTGATAAGTGCTTTAATAGAGATACATTATCTGTTTGAAACATCAGAAGTCCACTGAAGCCATTCCCGTACGCTGGAATTATTCTATTATTCCCCGGAGGACGAGTTCGTGTCACATGGTTTGTAAGCTGATTAAGCCCTCGAAATACTGATGCCAATTCATGTGTGATTAATCGAATTCTAAGAGGAGAAAGACAACGTCAAGTTACACAGACGGACTAAAGTAGTATTGTACGAGTTGATGAATTATTGTCTAAATAATTGAAATTCGATCTGCCCAAATGTAGTTTTCTTCTTTGACTTTTCTCCCACAAATATAGCTGAATGAGCAATAATTAATTAGTACTTTCCCGCGGTTAGTATTTCTTCTCTTCTCGGGCAGTTATATGGTATATTAGCTTCCTGTTGTTAAAATCCATATTATAAATTTACTTTTGGTATATTCAAAAGTGATTTTTTTTAAAACTTTTTCTTTTTGTTGTTGTTAAATATATATCACAAGGGTTTTCTAAAATTAATAGGATATTATCAGCAGTCATGCTTTGGGTAACTCTGCTATGAACCGATTGCGATCCTTCCTTTTTTAAGAATATACTTACTTATCTCGATGCTGCAATGGTAAAAACATTTTAATTAATATATATAGCACTACACCATAGCCATTAATATATATTTGACTTTTAAAGCTATTAAGCTTCTTTGCTTGTGTGTATGTATAAGGATGAGGAACACGTATGTCATACTTTAAGGTAATGTGAAGATTAGAGAATCTTTAGAAACGTCAACAATGCTATAAATGTTGAATTCACGTCACCCCCAGAACAAAAACATCAACAACTATGTAAACTGTGGAACTTTCGAGTCATGAATATTCCTGAACATACGATTTCAAGCGAAAATATTTATAAGAACGAAGATACCTAACTGAAGAACCGATGCTTTCTAATCATTATGAAAATTTTTCTTGTCACTTGTTTTATGGCATTACGTGTTCCTAATACGGTTGGTATGTTGAATTAGTTCTGTTATTTTTAGTTTAGGCTCACATAAAGTAGCTTGCTTTTGGTCAGAAGTTACTGATCGTATGTTGAGTAAAATGTGATCTTCCCTGTTGGATTTGAAGTTGTTACAAATTATGGTTATTCACGAATTTTCTAAGCTGTTACATACTGAGGAAACTTAGGATACTTTCAAGGGTCATGATCGTATGTTGAGTAAAATGTGATCTTCCCTGTTGGATTTGAAGCTGTTACAAATTATGGTTATTCACGAATTTTCTAAGCTGTTACTGAGGAAACTTAGGATACTTTCAAGGGTCATCGGAGGCTGATGAATAATTTTGTCAAGTTTACGAGAGTAGCGAAGATACAAAAATGGAAATGCTTAAATTAACATCCAGATACATCTATTATGAAGTCAATTAAGCACATTGTCAGCTGAATAATTGCTGGATGAGTCACACTTAGCCAAAAGATAGACTTACTTAAAATTATTTCCAGTTAATGTCGTTGTTGTATTATTATTTATTTTCCATGCATAGACATAAATTAAATAATATTCACAACTGCTATTTCACAATACAGGACAAAAGAATGAGTGATTTTTAAGTCATACCGTGAATATAATAAATAAGTCACATCCACATAGAATGCAACATAAATTATATTTCATATTGAATGCAAGAAAAATTATACATTTTAGTATTTCGTGTTCGAAATATATATCTAATGAACGGACAGATGTTTTCATGTCTATTAAACGAATGAGGTATATCATTTACCATATTCAACTTTAAATAGATACCATTGTCCATTACGTGTTAAAAAAGGAAACAGATCTGGAAGATGAATCTTCTTAAAGGATGCAGAAAGAAGTCGCACTTTTGTACTGATCAATATAAATGATATCTAAAGAACACTATCTAGCGAATTTCTAACTTCCGCTGAAAAGGTAGATAGAGCCACAAAATGGCCAAGTAGAGAAGAATGAGTTCTTTCTGCATGTGCAATAAACCTCATTATTGAAACTGTCCAATTTCCAATACAAATAAATCACTAGAAATGCCTTCTTAGCTGTATGGAGCGCAGGTACCTATCATCAAATCTAACTTGTCTATACGACAAGGCACCCAAGCCTGTAAGCTCATAAAGACTTGATGGAGCCTGGTAGGAAGCTTTCCTGTAGTGTACTGGCCTAACTGGCGCCATCCGCCTCGTCTCGCCACGCGGGATCACGTGACACTGGGCTAACGACTACTAGCACGAAAGGGTGTATACACAAGTACAGTATTCATTTTTAATTTAATTTTAATTTTGTTTCTGTGACTACTGTGTATCATTAGGCTATACTGGTTTATTAATCTGCCATTCTTCCAGTGTTTCACGTCTTGGCAATAGGAATAGTGCACTTTCCAGATTTTGTCACTATACAAACATTCAGAAAAGTTGATGAAACTACATAACATTAGTCTATTTTAAACAAAATGTAAGTGTTGAACGTTCAATTCAGCCCAGTCGTAAAAAAACACGTATAGGCATATTTATCTCACTGTGTGTTTGCGTACGTACAATTTCATAACTTTCTAAAACTAACCCAAATATATGAAACCTAATAGCTCAAATAACCGAGTGGTTTTACGAAGGTTAGTGTGTTTTTTAATAGTGAAAAATTTCTCGTGACATCGAGTAAATTCATTGTAACATTAAGTACACTTTATATCTTACCTGTCGAAACAAAGTTGTAAAGGACCCCTTACAGTAAACAGGAGAAGTGCGAATAGTGGTGAAGATATTTTATCCTTATTGTACTAGTGTCTTATACTACACCATTCCAATAAAAGAAGTGTAAATATAAGTACAGTTAATTTAATTCAGAACGGAGATAAAAACATGGAAATGAATGTTGCATAAGTATTTACTCTTGATGGCCTTTGATATACTTCAACATATAAGTACTGAATATGTTTGTTACTCCCAAATTTAATTCAGATTATCTTCTTATAAACACTTTTATTTTTAAACTGTTGAAATGCAGATGTACTGTTCTGAACCACCACAAATAAGAGAGTTTTAAATGAAACAAGTACAACAGTGTTCTAATGGAGATACGACAAAATGCTCTTAATTGGGATTTTGCAGAAAAAGTTGATTTTATTCATATTTCTCAACTGTCACATTTGTTTACAAACCCATGAGATATGACAAAATGCTCTTAATTCGGATGTTGCAGAAAAAATTAATTTTATTCATATTTCTCAACTGTCACATTTGTTTACAAACCCATGAGATATGACAAAATGCTCTTAATTCGGATGTTGCAGAAAAAATTAATTTTATTCATATTTCTCAACTGTCACATTTGTTTACAAACCCATGAGATATGACAAAAATGAAGACTTTAATGCAAGGAAACAATTCTGGTAGAATCAGCTGAAATGCTGATAAAACTGTACAAGTTTTGTTTTTCTTAATGCTTCCTCAAAAAAGTAAGATTTGTTATGAATAACGAAGTTTCCGCTTGAATATGACCTGCGAATCTTTACTGACAAATAGTTAGTTATGCACGTTAAGAAAATCCAAATCAAACCTGGTGGTATTATTTTTAGTACATGTTCCACGACTCACATAGCAATACCGTGAGAATCTGTGTAGCCTAAAACTTTGGCATTTGACCTTAAACACCGAAATTAATGTTCATGAAATTGTTGGTTAAAAAAAAAGATAGGATTATCCTCAAATAAACACATATAAACCCAGTTTTCACCATTTTCATCTCAAAACTGCTTTTGTTTGTTTGTTTTGAATTTCGCGCAAAGCTAAACGAGGGCTATCTGCGCTAGCCGTCCCTAATTTAGCAGTGTAAGACTAGAGGGAAGGCAGCTAGTCAACACCACCCACCGCCAACTCTTGGGCTACTCTTTTACCAACGAATAGTGGTATTGACCGTCACATTATAACGACCCCACGGCTGAAGGAGCGAGCATGTTTGATGGGACGGGGATTCGAACCCACGACCCTCAGATTGCGAGTCGAGCACCCTAACCACCTGGCCATGCCCGGCTCAAAACAGCATTTTTATTCCCAAAATACCATAAATGAAGTGTATTTTGGGTTATCATTCAGAGGAAACACATAGGAAGAAGGCGTTGAATCCTATGATTACAGCGAGTCTACAAATGATGTTGCAGAGGAAACACATAGGAAGAAGGCGTTGAATCCTATGATTACAGCGAGTCTACAAATGATGTAAATAGAGACATACGAATATTTCGATTGGAATAAACAATTTTCTATCTCAAAACGTATATATACAATTTAAATTAATTATAAAATATATAAGCATTTTACGATATTAAAAAACTGATCTTCGAAATGCTGTAACTTTTATGTATGAGACACGAGAAGTGATCAAAGATCCTTTACTCTTAGAGTACCGGAAGGATGGAAAAAAAGGTGATATAAAATTACCAACGAAAGCGGTACACAACATGATAACGTATACATCAGATATTGTACCCGTACGGGTAGAACGAAGATACCTCCTTGAGCTAAATGTTATCACGACTCTTGAAGCTATTGACCTTGTCTGGTGAATCAGATTACACCACTTCGAATAAACAAACCTTGTGAAGTGTTGTAGAAAATTAGTCTGATGATACAGATGTCTGGAAAATTCAGCACCAGTAACACTAAGTTCCAAAAATATATGAACACAAGACCAAGCTTTAAAACTGTAGATGTTAAGAAATTTTTTCATAATTACCAATTACACATCTTTTAAAGCAGACTTAGTCAGTGTATTCAACGTATGGACCGAATTTCTATGGACTTTATCTTGATTTCGAGACGACGTTTCGGGCTGCATGCAAAGTCTATCATATTATAAAGGACTCAGCATGGAGCCAAACGTAGTCTCGAATTAAAAAAAAAGGCAGGGAAATTTATAGGAAACGCAGTTCATATACCACCCACACAAATCATAAGAAGAATTTAAACAGAATACATAAAGCATCTACACATTTCCTTCACATCTTCCATCAAAAACAGTTTGTCTAAAACATTGGTATGTGCAAACTTAATAAATTATCTTTTTTATAGCAAGAAAAGGTCAAGCTTTATCAACACCTCCGACAGTAAAATTATCGGGGGTAAAAAAATAAAAGCAAAGTTATGTTGAGAACACTTTTTAAGTTTATTCTTCTTATTCTTATTTAGGCATACTCGCCCCTTTCAGCCGTGGGGGCGTTACAATGTGATGGTCAATTCCACTATTCGTTGGTAAAAGAGTAGTCCAAGAGTTGGCGGTGGGTGGTGCTGACTAACTACCATCCCACTAGTTTTTCA